ATGCAGCAGCTCCTGTGCTGCTGCCTGCTGCTCGTCTCCACTCTGCTGCAGCAGCAACAATTCCCCCTGAAACCCTCCCTGCTGCTGCTGCTGCTGCTGCTGCTGCTGTTGCTGCTGCTGCTGCAGCAGTGCTGCTGCTGCTCTGAGTCTATTTGCTGCTACTGTTAGCTGCGGCATGGCTCGCAGGTGCAGCGTTGCTGCTGTTTCTCTCAACGCTTGCTGCTGCTGCTCTGCTGCTGCTGCTGCTGCTGCTGCTGCTGCTTCATACGTCCTCCAAGTAGCAGTCGCACGATGAGCTGCTGCTGCTTGCTGCTGCTGTTGCGGCCTCTCCTGCTGCTGCTGCTGCTGCTCCTGCTGCTGCTGCTGCTGCTCCTGCTGCTGCTGCTCCTGCTGCTGCTCCTGCTGCTGCTCCTGCTGCTGCTGCTGCTGCTGTGCTGCAGCAGCAGCTCGCAGCAGCTCTGTGTATTCCTTGAGTGCGTCTATAAGGGAGAGGGTTAGGGTGTACATACACCTCAGCATCCTGCTGCTGCTTCTTATCCTGTTTGTTTGCTGCTTCGCTCTCTCATCTGCTGCAGCAACTGCAGCAGCCACATCGCTGCTGCTGCTGCTGCTGTTGCTGCTGCTGCTGCTGCTGCTGCTGCTGCTGTCGAGGTAGCTGCTGCTGCTGCTGCTGCTGCTGTCGAGGTAGCTGCTGCTGCTGCTGCTGCTGCTGCTGCTGCTGACGCAGCGGGCTGCAGACACATTCAGCGTCTGCGGCATTGCAGCAGCAGCAGCAGCAGGTGCAGCAGCAGCAGCAGCAGCACTGCTTTTCTTTCCTGGAGGCATAGCAGCAGCAGCAGCTGCATGCATCTGCTGCTGCTGCGCTGCAGCAGTTGTGGCGGTTTGCTGCAGCAGGAGGGACTCGTGCTGCAGCAGCATTCTGAGGTTTGTGAGGACTTGCTGCTGCTGCTGCTGCTGCTGCAGTTTGTGCTGCTGCAGCAGCTGCTGCAACTCAACAAACCGGCAGCATATCTGCTGCTTCATGCTTGCTGCTGCTGCAGCACGAGCTGCAGATACACCCGAAAGCTGCTGCAGCAGCCGCAGCGCCACAGACACATGGATGCGGCTGCGCGTTCTAGCAGCAAAAGCAGCAGAATTCAGTTGCTTCTCTGCTGCTGCTGCTGCTGCTGCTGCTGCTGTTGCTGCTGCTGCTGCTGCTGTTGTTGTTGATACTGCTGCTATGTCGCCCGCATGCTGCTGCTGCTCCTCCTCGTGCTGCTGCTGCTGCTGTTGCTGCTGCTGCAGTTGCTGCTGCCTATGACGTGCTGCAGCAGCTGCTGCTGCTTCTAGGGATTCCTCTGCTGCTGCTGCTGCTGCTGTATATCGAGCTGCTGCTGCAGCATGGCTTTGCTGTGCCTGTCGCCAGCTTGCTGCTAGTTGCTGCTGCAGCTGCTGCAGATGTTGCTGCTGCTTCTGAAGCTGCTGCTGTTGTGCTTCTGCTGCTGCAGCCTGCTGCTGCAGCTGCGCAGCAGCGCAGCTGTGCTGCTGCTGCTGCTTATGCAGCAGCAGCAGCAGCAGCGCCCACATATGCCGCTTGCTGCTGCTGCTGATGCACCCCAGCTGCGGCCGCTGCTCCTCTGTTGCTGCTGCTGTAGCAGCAGCAGCATTTGCTGCTGCTGCTGCTGCTGCTGCCGCTGCTGCTGCTGCTGCTGCTGAAGCCCGGCCGTCCATCGCCACCCCACACTGATCAGCAGCAGCAGCAGCAGGAGCAGCATCTTCTGCTCCTGCTGCTGCTGCTGCCTCCAGCAGCTCACCCTCAGACTTGCTGCTGCTGCTG